AGCCTGGCATAACTTGGTGTGGTCTTAAGCAGAGACATCCGGCAATGTATTATCTTCTTTCAGTGGCTTGCCAACTCAACTTGTTGTATGAATCTATTAACTGATAAAAGTAGGAGCCGCCGTGTAGAATGGTATAGTCTTTTCACATCATTTGGACAGCTGGAGAGATAAAAAGCTGGGTTTGGGGGCGAACCGGAGGAGTTAGTGAAGTACTGAGTCACTTGCCGCTTACCACTAGGGGGCTGCGGCCCAGCACTACTCAGCGAGCAGCAGCTCCATCTGATATTAATAATGATAATGATATTAGTAATGATAATAATATTAGTACTGATGACAACAATGCCGTTTATGTTGATGGTAGTAATTATAGTTATGATAATAGTAGTTATAATGATAAAGATAATGGTGAACATAATGATAATGATAATAATAGCAATAATAATAATGATAATGACAATGACGATAATATTAACAAAAATGATAATAATAATTGTAATGATAATGATAATAATGATAATAATGACAACAATTTTACTAATGATAGTAATAATGATGATGATGATAATGATAACAACAACAACAACAACAACAATAATGATAATAATAATAGTGACCACAGTGATAATAATTATAATGATAATAATAATACTAATAATGATAGTAATAATAACAAAAATAATAATAAAATGATAGTAATAATAATAATAATAATAATAATAATAATAACGATGATAATGATAATAATGATAATAATAATAATAATATTAATAACAATAATAATAATACTGATGATGATGATGACGATGCTGAAGATGATAATAGCAATAACAGTAATAATAGAAATAATAATAGTAATGATAATAATAATAATAATAATGATAATAATAATAATAATAATAATAATAATAATAATGATAATGATAATAATAATAATAGTAACAATAATAATAATGATAATAATAATAATAATAACAATAATGATAATGATGATAATGATAATAATGATAATAATGATAATGATGATAATAATAGTAATATTAATGATAAAAAAATAAATAAGATAATAATAATAATGATTATAACAACAACAATAATAATAACAATAATAATAATAATAATAATAATAATAATAATAACAGTAATGATGTTGATGATAATAATGAAAATGATAATTATAATGATGATGAAAAGGATATTATTAATAATATTAATAATATCAAAATAATAATAATAATGATAATAATAATGATAATAATGATAATAATAACAATAATAATAAAGATGATAATGATGATAATGATAATAACATTAATAATAATAAAAAAATAATGATAGTAACAATGATAATGATAATAACAATAACAATAATAATAATAGTAATAATAACAATAATAATAATAATAATAATAATAATAATAATAATAACAAAAATAATAATGATGATAATGATAATAATGATAATAATGATAATGATGATAATAACAATAATATTAATGATAAAAATAGTAATAATAATAATAATAATAATAATAATAATAATAATAATGATAGTAACAATGATAATGATAATGATATTACTAATACTAATGATAATTGATAATAATAAAAATAATAATAATAATAATAAAAATAATGATCAACAATGATGATAATAATGATAACAACAACAATAATAATGATAATGATAATAGTTATAGTTATAGTAATAATAAAAACATTAATAGTAGCAATGGCAGTATTAGTAGAATTGATAATAATAGTAGTAATAATAATGATAATAACACTAAGAGCATAGTTGATAATAACAGCAACGATTATCATAATTGTAGTAGTGATGATAATGATTATGAGAACAACAATGATGATGACAGTGAGAAAATAGCAATGATAATGACAATAATAGCTATAATAACAATAATGATGATGATAATAATGATAATGATGATGATAATAATGATAATGAGGATAATAATAATAATTACAGTAATGGTAATGCTGCTGCTAATGGTGATGATGATAATAATTGTAATGATAATAATAATAATGATAATAATAATAATAATAATAATAATAATAATAATAATAATAATAGTAATAATAATAATGAGAATAATAATAATGATAATGATGATACTAATGATAATGATGATAATAGTAATAATTACTGTAATAGTAATGCTGCTGCTGCTGGTGATACTACTACTACTACTACTAATAATAATAATGATAATGATAATGATAATGATAATAATGATAATAATAATAATAATAATAATAATAATAATAATAATAATAATAATGATAATAAAGATAATGATATTATTATTATTGATACTAATTGTCATAATAGTAATAATAATGGAAACAATGGTAATAATGATGATAATGATAATCATGATAGTGATGGGAATAATACTGAAATGATGATGATGATGATGATGATGGTGGTGGTGATAATAATAATAATAATAATAACAATAACAATAATGATAATGATAATAATAACAATAGTAATTATTCTTTTTCTTTGCTTCTTCTTCATCTTATCATTATTATTATTGTTTTTATTATTTTTTTATTATTATTATTATCATCATCATTATCGACATTATTATTATTATTATCGTTACCACTATGATTATTATTATTATCATTTCATTGTTTATCATTGTTCTTACTATTATCATAAAAATAATGATAATTATTATTATAATTATTATTATCATTATTATTATTATTATTATTATTATTATTATTATTATTATTACGCCATGATGACACTAATAACAATAATGATATTGACCATAATAAAAAAAACAATGACAATGATAATGATAATACTAATACTAATGATAATGATAATAATAATAATAATAATAATAATAATAATAATAATAATAATAATAATGATGATGATGATAATCATGCTAATAATAGCAATAATAATAATAACAAAAATAATAATAATGATATTATTAATAATAATAATAACAAAAATAATACTATGAATAGGAATATGAACAATGAACAATAATAATGATAATGATAATAATTATACAGATAATATGATAATAGTTATAATGATGGTAATAATAATAATAATAATAATAATAATAATAATAATAATAATAATAATAATGATGATAATGATAATAATAACAATTATTATAATAATAGTAATAATAACAATAATGATAACGATAATAATGATGATGATGATGATGATGATAATAACATCAATAATGATAATAATAATAATAACAATAACGCTAATAATAATAGCAGTACTAATACTACTACTACTAATGATGATAACAACAATGAGAATAACAATAATAAAGACAATAACTGAATTGAGAATAATAACAAT